AAAAAAAAAAAAAAAAAAAAAAAAGAACAACATCAGAATTAGCATATTTGTGAGGAAGAATAATAATAAACCTCCTGTATCTTTTTTTCACATCAAGTATTCAACCCTTATGATGGTCTTCAAGAAGATAAACTCCATTTTATAGATGAGGAAACTGAAGCAGAGGGAGGTTAAGAAATTTGCCCCAGGTCATATATAGTCAGTAAATGGCAGGGCATGGATTAAAATGTATCTCTGATTTCCAAGACCAGGCAATTTGCCACTACAGCACATTGCTTCCCACAAGAGAGATAATGGGGAGGGGAGGAAGAGGTGGGAAGAAAAATATGGAACAAAGATCCCTGGGGCAGCCTCATCCTACCCCATCTGCTTGCACCCCAAATGTTCCTAAGAACCCAAACCAAGGCATTAATTTACTTTCCTGCCACTTCCAGTTCTAAAATGGTAGCATAGGAAACTCATCTGTTTTTACAGAACATGGAACAGTTTTTAGAGTACATTTGGGTCTGCCCTGTCCTTCATTTACAGAAAAGGGAACGGAGGCCCAGAAGTGTTGTCCCCTGCTGGCTAATGACGGACTGGCACTCAAATGTGCTGAATCCTAATTCTATACTACTTCTATTTTGCTGCACTCCTAAGGGCTCCAAAAAACTGTAAACTTCATGTAGATACAAAGTGAGTTATATTGTCACCTCCACCATTAAACTGAGAGCCACCTCTTTTCTAGATAGTGTCTATTAACCCTAATTCTAGACAGCATCATTTTCCCCAGCATTTTCTTCTGATCCAGGAAGAACTTTCTACAGGAATCCCAAACAAATCTCCCAATCTAGCACTTTAGCCTCTTTATCCTGAGACTCCTCATTCTACCTCCTCCGCCTCTACAGTCCCCACCAAGAAGCCACACACCTGCTGTCAGAGCTCACTACCTTCAGAGCCAGCATGGCCCAAAGTCCCAGGGAGAGGTTGCCCTGAATGAAGCAGAGCAGAATTCTTGGGGCAGATCTTTTCTAGATCCCAAAGAAGTCTCACAGTTGCCCACATTATTTGGGTAAAATGCAGATACATGAAAATCTAACATTCAACTCTAGACTTTACATAAATAGTTTCTTCTTCCAGGACACAATCCTCTAATAATCTATCCATTACTGATTTACTAAATCAATCACTTATTCAATAAATATTGATTAATCACCTTCTACCTGTCAGCCATTGTGTTTGGTACTGGGAAACATCATCAGAGAAGACATGGTTGGCCCAGCATGGTGACTCACGCCTGTAATCCCAGCACTTTGGGAGGCCGAGGCAGGCAGATCACCTGAGGTCAGGAGTTTGAGACCAGCCTGGCCAACACCATCTCTACTAAAAATACAAAAATTAGCAGGGAATGGTTGCAAATGCCTGGAATCCCAGCTACTCCAGAGGATGAAGCAAGAGAATCACTAGAACCCAGGAGGCAGAGGTTGCAGTAAGCCGAGGTCACGACATTGCACTCCAGCCTGGGCAACAAGCAAAACTCTGTCTCAAACAAAGGAAGACATGATTCCTGCCCCCAGAAGCTTCCAGCCCATAGTAGAATCTAGGTATACAGTGATAAACTGCTTGTTGTCTATAAAAGAGAGAATTCATAGTGTTTGGAAACCCATGAATTCTTGGAATTCATAAATTTGGAGGTCCAATATTCAGCTTTGAGAATGCGTCTTGGACAAGTATTGTCAGGGTTGAGACATAATAAAAAAGTAGGAAAGGCATTCTAGGCAGAGCAGACCTCTGATGAGCTAAAGATAAGTATAAGCAAGGACCATGCAAGGAATTTCAAATAATTCCATCTGGCTGTAGAAGAAGACCCTAGGGAAAGGACAGGAAAGGAAAGGATGTGATCTTGGTAGATCTTTTCCGGGTCTGCTCAAGTGCCCCCTGAGCCTGTGGGGACCCTACTCACAAATGATCTTTAGGTCTTGCCTCCTCTACCCTCCATGTGGACAGTACACACCACAAAGCATCCATCACTCACTTATTTACCTCTCTCTGAGCTACATTCCACAAATGTAGAATTTAATTTGAATTCCTCCCTTTTTCTCTAAAAGAAGAGGAATGACTAGTTGAATGGATGTGGAGTCAGAGATGGTTAAAATGAAGTCAGTTCAGAGACTTTCGGTCAGAAGCCAAGGGAGGTTAGGCAAAGAGATTTGTTTTCCTGAATGCTTGGATCAGAACTAAACAAAGAGGCAGGAAAGGCCAGGGATTCACGCAGAACTGGCTGTTTCCTGGAGGTCCTGGATCCCAGAGCTGTGCTCTGATCATTGGTATCTGCTGACACTAGAAAACTGAAAAAGCTTAATTTGAATCAATACACAGAGAGCGGAGAGGGGATGACAGGCAATTAACTCAATTCTTCCTTTCTACCTAATTGTCTCCTCATTAGCTTGGGAAAGGAATGAGTTTCCATGACTACCTCATGACACAGAGACTCAGTGCAGGTGATGCCAGTGTCAGCTTGGCTTTCTGTAGCACACATTAGCAGAGGCGGAAACGAAAGTTCATGCCAAGCACAAGACCTGGGACCTCTTGCTCCACCTACCCTCACCTCAATTAATCATCCCATCTCCATTATTCTGCATTGACTCCCTGCTTTGTGTATAGCCTACAGGGCACTGAGAGGAGGGAGTGGTGGCTATAGGACTCTGAGGATACATGTGGTGTCCCAGAGAGGGAGCTGGGCTGAACCCAGCATGGTTCTGACCTCCTTGTGGGAAAGAAAATGAACAGAAATGAGTCAAAGACTGGCATTCTAGTGCTAGCACAGACAAGTTACTTTGGGCAAGTGGTTTAACCTCTATGAGCCTCAGTTTCCTCGTGAGTAAAATGGTGACCTAAAGGCCCTATCTTCCTTACTAGAATGTTTGAAGATTAGATAAAAATCTGTCTTAGTCTATTCCTGCTGCTGTAACAAAATACTACAGACTGGGAAATGTATAAATCATGGAAGTTTATTTTCTCACAGTTCTGGAGGCTGGGAAATCTAAGATCAAGGTGGGTTCAGGTTCAGTGTCTGGTGAGGGCCTGGTC